ATCTCTTGACCTCGTGATCCACCCGCCTCGGCCTCCCAAAGTACTGGGATTACAGGCGTGAGCCACTGCGCCCCGCCAGCCATTTGATTCTTTCAGATAGATGGGTACTTTACTTGGTAGAAGGCCTAAACTGTATTTCAATCTTTGATGTAATCAAAAAGCATAAATGTGCAATAATCTGTATAAGGAACCTCCGATTTGTAACCAAGTCAGACAAAAGCTGTGGGTAATCTGGGAACCCACCGTTTGCAGTTGGTATCTCATGTTTGGAGTAGTCTCATGGACTGAGCCATTAACCTGTGGCGTTTGTGCTAACTAGAGTTAGTGTCAGAACTGAATTAATTGTAGGATACCCAGTGAATGTCTGCCAAGAAACGAAGAATTGCTGAATTGGCAAAAACCCGTACATATTGGTGACCAGAAATGTTCTGTGTTGTTATTGTTGTTTTTTTGAGACAGGGTCTTGCTCTGTCACTCAGGCTGGAGTGCAATGGTACAATATGGCTCACTGCAGCCTGGACCTTCTGGGCTCAAGCCATACCCCCTGAACCTCAACCAACCAGGTAGCTGAGACTACAGGTGCACATCACCATGCCCAGCTCATTTTTAAAGAAAATTTTGTAGAGACTAGATCTCATTATGTTGCCCAGGCTGGTCTTGAACTCCTGGGTTCAAGCGATTCTCCTGCCTTGGTCTCCCAAACTGCTAGGATTAAGGCATGAGCTACTGCATCTAGCTCTGTGTTGCTCTGAGAGTATAAACAGTAGGAGAGGACATTTAGTTTTTTCCTATTGCACACTGTATTAATTAGGGTTCCCCAGAAAAACAGAACCTTGTATGTGTGTGCGCGTACACACACAACAATATGTGTGTGTATGTGTGTATATATGTATATATATACACACATACATACATACATACACTGTTATGTGTGTATACACACACACACACACACACCCAATTGGTTCTGTTTTTCTGGGGAAACCTGACTAACACAGTGTATAATAGGTGTGTGTGGGGTCGTGTGTATATATACATTTACACCCACACATACACATAGATGGAGAGAGAGGGAGATAAGTCTATTTTAAGAAACTGGCAATTGTGGGAGCTAGCAAGTCCAAAACCTGCAGGGCAGCATGGAGACCTGGAGAGCAGTGGATGTTGCCGTCTTAAATTTGATGGGAGTCTAGAGGCAGAATTTCTTTCTTCTCAGAGGATCTCAGTCTCCTAAGGCCCTCAACTGATTATATGACATCCACCGTCATAATAAAGGGGAGTCTGTTTTACTCAAAGCTGACGACTTAAATGTTAATCTCGTCTTAAAAGTACTTCACAGTGGGCCAGGCGCAGTGGCTCACGCCTGTAATCCCAGCACTTTGGGAGGCTGAGGTGGGTGTATTACAGGGTCAAGAGATCGAAACCATCCTGGCCAATACGGTGAAACCCCGTCTGTACTAAAAATACAAAAAAAATTAGCTGGACATAGTGGCATGTGCCTGTAGTCCTGGCTCTTCAGAAGGCTGAGGCAAAAGAATTGCTTTAACTCAGGAGGTGGAGGTTGCAGTGAGCCGAGATCGCGCCACTGCACTTCAGCCTGGGCAACAAGAGCAAAACTCTGTCTCAAAAAAATAAAAAAAGTACTTCACAGCAACATCTAGGCATGTTTGCCCAAACAACTGGGCACTACAGCCTAACAAATTCAAACATAAAATGAATCATAATATAATCCTCCCCAATCTACGTAGAAAAAAAATGAACGTATATTTCATATCCTGAAACACAGGCTCATTCCATCCTTTGATAAACATTATTGAAGGCCTGGCCCTCTTCTAACATTAGGCCCATTATGACACATAAATATAATCTCACTGCACATTTGTTGGATTATAAGAAATCAAATTTATAGCCCTTTAATATTTGCAAAATATGTTCAGAAATACATCTTGTGTAATCTTCATGTCATTATTGTAGTCCTTATTTGACCAAAAATAAGGCAAGAGAGAAATACTCTGACACATCGAAAATTGTAGCGTCAATAGGTGATAGAGCCAAAAAGAGTCAGATCTTCTGACATTAAGCCCTTTCTTCATCAAATAGACACTGTGAACAGAAGTAACACAGGTATTCAAGGATAGCAGCTATTTTATTATTTCCCAATTAATCTACATTGAGAAGACACAAAGGTCAAGATGCCTCGCTTATTCCCCTGCCTGGGAATTTAAAGTTGTATTACAAGTTCAGCAATAGATCACGGTCTACAAGTAGTGTTTAGTTTTGTTTTTAACTTTTATTAAAATATAGCATGCTACTCAGATCATAAGTTTACACCTCAATACATTTTCGCAAAATGAATAACCTTGTGTAACTGCTACCAAGATCAAGAAATAGAATATGACCAGGGGTGGGTACAGCGGCTCACACCTGTAATCCCAGAACCTTGGGAGGCCAAGGCAGGAGGATTGCTTGAGCCCAGGAATTCAAGACCACCCTGGGCAACAGAGCCTGATCCCATCTCTACAAAAAAACATGGAAAAATTAGCCAAGCATGGTGGTATGCGCTTGTAGTTCCAACTACCAGGGAGGCTGAGGTGGGAGGATCACTTAAGCTCAGGATTTTGAGGCTGCAGTGAGGTGTGATCACACCACTGCACTTCAGCCTGGGCAACAGAGGGAGACACTATCTCTAACCAAAACAACAATAATAATAATAATAATAATAATACAATTAGCATCTCAGATGCCCTTTTGGGGTCCCTCCCAGGCATCATCTTTCCCACAAAGGTAACCACCATCCAAATATCTTTCACTATCAACCAATTTTGCCTTTGTTTTCTTTTCTTTTTTTTTTTTTTTTGTAGATGATTTCTCATTACGTTTCCCTAGACAGTCTCAAACTCTTGGCCTCAAGCAATCCTTCTGCCTGGGGCTCCCAAAGTGCTGGGATTACAGGCATGAACCACTACACTCAACCTGTTTTCAACCTTATATAAATGGAATCCTACTGAATGTGCTTTTTCATATCTGAGCTCCTTTGCTCTATATTACATCTGTGAGATTAATCCACTTGTTTGTTCAGTTACATTACTGCTGGGTAGCATTCTACTGTATGATGTACCACAATTTGTTCATCTGGTCATCCAACAATCTGGGTGATTGCATTTGGGGGTGCTGTAAACAGTGCTGCTGGGAACATTCTGTACCCAAGTTATGGTCCATCTGTGTATGTGTTTCTGTTCAGTATATACCTTGAAGTGGAATTGCTGGGTCGTTCATCTGCATGCATTCAGTTTTACTGGAAACTGCCAAACAGCTTCCTAAGTGGTTGTCCTAATTTGTATAACCACTAACAGTGGATGAGATTTCCACTTGTTCCACTCATTAGCTTTTATTATTGTTGTCTTTTCAATGTTATACTTCTATAACATATGGATATAGTCATACAATATATAACATTGGTTTACACGTTTTCAAAACTTCATAGAAATGCTATTACGTCATGCTGAAAATATTCTACCACTTGTTTCTGAGATCATCTGTGTTGATACATATAGTTCCAATTTATTCTCTTTTATTGCTACACACCATTCCAGTTTTTCTTTTTCTTTTTCTTTTTTTTTTTTTTTTTTTTTTTTTTTTTTTTTTTTTTTTTTTTTTTTTTTTTTTTCTTGCTCTGTCAC